TGTGATGATGAGTAAATCTATTACAGTACAACATGGGAATGAAACTGCACAGTTGGCTGTTTTAATTTAATTTTTTTTCTTTAGCCCGCTGAGTGTGTGCTGTGTGTGCTGACAGGACCATCTCCTGTTTCTTGTGGTTAAACTGTTCCAAAGAGAGCATAGATACTCGTTTAAACAGGTCTAGGTGACATTTAGTGTGCCGTTGTTGAGAAGAGTGAGGCAGAGAATTAGATCAGTGCAAGTATGAGCAGGGCGATGGTGACGCAGTTCATGTCCTTTTCAGTGTTTCAGTCTCGAGGGTCCTGCCTACAGCACATGAGTGTTTGGACAAGGCAAAAGACAGGAAGTGGATGTGACAACAGGCTCCAGCTGTGCCAAGCACTTTTCCCTGCACACTGTGGGGGAACCAATGGTAATGATTGTTGTGAGCTGTGATGTGCTGGAAATGATCCCTAAGCTGGTTAATTTTGTGTTCTTTTGATAACGTTGGGTAGATTAGGTCACCAGTTATATTAGGAATCACTAGTCTAAACTGTCCAAAATGTGTGTTCGTCTGTCAAATTTTAATAGTTTGTTTTCTAACCGTCTGTGCATTTTGGTTAATTAAAAGGGAAAAATCATTTTAACACAGAAGCTTCGAACAGCATAAAGTTTGGGTTTTACAACCCCAACTCCAGTGAAGTTGGGATGTTGTGTAAAACAAATAAAAACAGAATGCGATGATTTGCAAATCTTTTTCAACCTATAAAATTTAATACACTACAAAGACAAGATATTTAATGTTCAAAAAGATAAACTTTATTGGGTTTTTTTTGTAAATATTCATTCATAAAATTTRATGTTTGCAACATGTTCCATAAAAGCTGGGACAGGGACACAGAAAGACCGGGAAAGTTGAGTAATGTTGTTTGGAGCATTCCAAAGGTGAACAGGTTAATTGAAAACAGCTGAGTGTCACGATTGGGTATAAAGCGAGCATCCCTGAAAGGCTCAGTCATTCACAAGCAAGGATGTGGCAGGTATACCCCTTTGTGAACAATTGTGTGAGCAACAGTTTAACAACATTTCTCAATGTACAAATGCAAACAATTATAGATTTCATCAACTACAGTCCATAATATCGTCAAAGAATCTGACAAAACTTTTTAAATAAGCAACAAGGCTGAAAATCAACACTGAWTGTCCATGACCTTCAATCCCYCAGGTGGCACTACATTAAAAACTGACATCATTCTGTAAYGGATATATTTACCTCATGTGCTCAGGAACAATTCAGAAGCTTATTGCCAGTGAACACAGCTCATCTCTACATCTGTAAGTGCAAGTTAAAACTCTACCATGCAAAGACAAAGCCAYAAATCAACAACACCCAGAAAMACAGCCGGCTTCTCTGGACCTGAGCTCATCTGAGATGGACTGATGCAAAGTGGAAAAGTGTCCTGTGGTCTGACGAGWCCACATTTTTAAAATTATTTTAAGAAATAGTGGATGTCATGTGCTCTAGGCCAGGGGTTCTTAACCTTTTTGACCTCGGGGCCCAATTTGTTCAACATAAAGTTACACGAGGCCCAGTCACACATTACCATATGGATCAAAATGATAATTATTCTAAAGCTTGGTTTAATTTGTATTGTATTTGCATTATAACTAAATAAAATACACTTACAATTTAAAAGTAAAACCCATCACATAATCACAAGACCTGATTTTGACAAACAGCTTTTTGACAAAATGCTTACAAATAAATTACAAAAATTAATTTGATAAAGTGCAAATTAAA